ACACATGCATAAAATTTGAAATAGATTTAATTTTTTTTTTGATACGGTCAGCTAGTGTCCTCATCACTATGAATTTAGTAATTCTTTTTTTTTTTTTTTTTTTTTTTAAATCAGGAATTGAACCCAGGCTACATCCTTATCCCTTTTTTATTTTTTATTTTGAGACTGGGCCTCGCTAAATTGCTGAGGCCAGCTTTGAACTTGGGATCCTCCTTTCTCAGCCTCTCAAGCTGCTGGGATTACAGGCATGTGCCACTGTGCCTGGAAGTAATTCTCTCTCTCTCTTTTTTTTTTTCCCCCCTCTCTGATGCCAGTTTTTTGTTGGTTAGTTGGTTGGTTGGTTGGTGGTGCTGGGGATTGAACTCAGGGCCTTATGCATGTGAGGCAAGCACTCTACCATGTGAGCCATATCCCCAGCCCCATCTGATGCCAGTTTTATCATATTAAAATCTTACATATACTTGGGCTTATACTTTCAAGGCTTTTCTTGTGAAACAGTTGTATTTGATAAGAAAATAACATTCTTTTCTTTTTCCCCCCTCCCTGTGGTGCTGGGCATTGAACACAGGGGCACTCTACCACTGAATTACATCCCCAGCCCTTTTTATTTTGAGACAGGGTCTTCCTAAGTTGCCTTAAACTTGTGATCCTACTACCTCAGCCCCATCAGAATATCTGGGATTATAGGCACACACCACTATGTCTGGCCCCAATTTGTTTTATAAAGCCAGAAATAGCCAGATGATAAATTCAAAAATCAGATAAGAATGAAAAATCTACAACTAGAGGCTGTGAATTTTGTGGTAGAGTGCTTGCCTAGTATGCTTGAGGTCTTGTTCAATCCCCAGCACTGCAAACAACAATAAACAAATCTGCAACTAAAATGCTTAATAATGAAATATTCTTCTCAGAACTCAGAAATAAGACCAAGATGATCAGTATTATCACTTCTGTTCAGCATTCCTTGGGATTCTAGTCAGTTCCACAAATAAAAAAAATATTAAAAATAGAATAAATTTACTTTCACTGGACATGTCTATATACAGAAAACCCGAAAGACTGTGGCAAATTAAGATTAATAGGGAATTTGGCCAATATATTAAAAAATTAATTGTATTTATTAGGAATAGAGGAAATTAAATATTTTTTACAATAGCATCTAAAAAATCGTATATAGGAATAATCTTTGTGAAGTTTATGCATAGGGGCTGGGGATGTGGCTCAAGCGGTAGCGTGCTCGCCTGGCATGCGTGCGGCCCGGGTTCGATCCTCTGCACCACATACAAACAAAGATGTTATGTCCGCCAAGAACTAAAAAATAAATATTTTTTAAAAAAAGTTTATGCATAATCTCCACAAAAGCCTATTAAACTAGATTAAAGAAAACCTGGGATCTGGGGATTTAGTTCAGTGGTCCAGCCCTTGTGTAGCATACATGGAGACATGGGTTCCATTAACAGTACTGGTGGGAATGTGAGGATGAGTAAAGGAAGAAATATACTATATTCCTAACTTTGAAGACTTAATATTAACATCAAGATGTCAGTTCGTCCAATACTGGTCTAGATTCAACACTATTGCAGTAAAATCGAATTTATTTATTTATTTATATATTTTTTGTACCAGGGATTGAACTCAGGGGCACTCAACCACTGAGCCACATCCCCAGCCCTATTTTGTAGTTTATTTAAAGACAGGGTCTCACTGAATTGCTTAGTTCCTTGAAGTTGCTAAGGCTGGCTTTGAACTCGCAATTCTCCTGTCTCAGCCTCCCAAACCACTGGGATTACAGGCGTGCGCCACTGTGCCCAGCTTTTTTTTTTTTTTTTTTAATTTAAAACAACAGAAATTTATCAAATTTTGGGGTGGAAAATGATCAACTAATTCTGAAATTTATCAGAAATGCAAAATCTTAGAATAATAATAGGTAAGACATTCTTGAAATAATACATTTAGAGGCTGTATCCCTAGTCTATCATATCATAAAATCACAGTTAAGTCTGCTGTTGTTATATAAGTATAAACAAATAGATCAATTAAATAGAGAACAGAAAGCCCCAAAACAAAACTATACATATATAATGACCTGACTTAACAGCAAAGGCATCATTGTATTTCAGTGATGAAAGGATGATCTTGTTAATAAATGGTGCTAGATTAATTGAATATCCATATGAAAAAGTAAATGTTGGGCTAGGGATTTAGCTCAATTGGTAGAATGCTTGTCTCCCACACACAGGGCCCTGAGTTCAATCCCCAGCATCACAAAAATAAATAAATAAATAAAATGCTGATTCCCATGTTACACTATACAAAGAAATTTATCTGCAATTGATTATAGACCTAGATATGAAAAGTAAAGTTCTGTGAGAAAATATTTTCGTAATCTTGGTATCAGCAAGAAGGTCTTAAGGGAGACCCAAAAAAGCAGTAATTATTTTTTTAAGAGGATTGACAAATTGGCCTTCATTAAAACTTAAGAACATCTGGAAGGTGGCAGTGGCTTCAGAGTTTTGGATATTCTCTAATTGCCATTAAAAAAGCAAATAGAAGCTGTGCATGGTGGCATGTGCCTATCTGTAGCCCCAGCTACTTATGAGTTGAGGCAGGAAGATCCCTAGGAGTTGGAGGTCAGCCTGGACAACATAGACACCTATTTCCTAGGTGTCAAGATTTCCCCTCAAGCTAGATGTGGTGGCCCATACCTATAATCCCAAACACTCTTCAGTAATTTGGGAGGCCAAGGCAGGAGATGTTTGCAAGTTTGAGGCCAGTCAATGCAAATTAGACCATTTCTCTAAATAAATTAATTAATTAATTAGGACTGTGGATACACCTCTACATGTGTAAGGCCCTTGGTTCAATCCTCAATACCAGGAGGAAAAAAAGATGTTCCCACAAAAGGGGATGGAGACAATCACCAAGGACAAGTTCTGAGTGTTACCAGCTGTCTATATAGGAGAAAACAAGCAAAGGGCATTTGATGAATATGAGAATAGAAGAATCCCAAGAGAGGCAATAGATGTTCACTGAAAGGTCCAGAAGGTCAGTTTGAGAACAGCTGAGACAAAGATCTTCTCTTAATCCAATAACTGATTAGTATAAGGAACTCAGAAGAAGACCTTATAAAGTCCTGAAACTGAACAGTGAAGAGTTCCTTTCAGGACAAGAACTTATTTAGAGCAATCAAAATTGAGCAGGTTAGAAACCAATCAAAGAGGTTTTGGATAAAAACATTACAAGGATAATAGAGGTTATCTTAGAAAGCAGGTTGACAAAAGATTTTTTTTTAATACTATGCGAAAACAGACCAAAAGAACTCTGAGATACAACAGCTTTTGAGTTACACAGCTTAATTTGGGGAAAATAAATTTGCCTTCAAGTGAGCAACAGAAAAAATATCAAGGCCAAACCCTATGCAAAATTAAAAGACAAGGGATGGGGTTGTGGCTCAGTGGTAGAGTGCTTGCCTAGCATGTATGAAGCACTGGGTTTGATCCTCAGCACAGTTAAAATAAATAGAAATAAAGGTATTGAAAGAAAAAAAGCAAACTCTTAAAAATTAAAAGCCACAAGAGACGGGGCTTGAGGTATATACCTCAGTGCAAGAATGCATGTTTATTGTGTATAAGGCCTTGGGTTCCATCCCCAAGACCACAGAAAGAGAGCTGGGCACAGTGGCACACACCTGTAATCCCAGCAACTCCAGAGGCTAACACAGGAGGATCTCAAGTTCAAAGCCAGTCTCTGCAATTTAGCGAGACCTTAAGCAACTTAGTGAGACCTTGTTTCCAAATAAATATAAAAAGGGCTGGAGATGTGGCTCAGTGGTTAAGCGCTCCTAGGTTCAATTCCTGGTTTGGTTGGATGGATGGATAGATAGATAGATAGATAGATAAAAGGGAGGGGAAGAATAAAAGAACAGAAAGAGATAATGAAATCACACCAAAAAAATTCTCAGAAAGCATCACAACTGCAACATGTTACTTCAAAACAAGGTACATACTACATACTTTGAAATGTACCAAAAAATAAGATGGATTAATGAATAGATGGGTAGATAGATATATGATAACGCAAGTATAGATACATGTAATCAGCAGATACAGGTATAAGTATACAGGGGTTTGTAAAATTATTTTCAACTGATAAAGATTGTGCCCTTGGAAAAGCATGTATATAAAAGGTAATCAATGGAAGAGTCCAAGGCAGAGAAGAGAAAGTGAATGAATAAAACAATAACATAAATACAACATTGGAAGCACAGAGCCACAGCCCAAGATTTTCCAAAAAAAAAAAAAATGAATATTTAAAAGTTTGGAAAACTAAAAAGATATTGTAGATCTCAAGGTCAAGGCTATCTGGGCAACTTAGGGAGATGCTGTCTTAAAAGGGTTTGTGGGGGCTGGAGTTGTAGCTCAGAGGTAGAGCACTTGCTTAGCACATGTGAGGTACTGGATTCGATCCTCAGCACCACATGAAAATAAATGAATAAAATGAAAGTACTGTGTCCATCCACAATTTAAAAAGTATTTTTTGAATGGTGGAGGGGTGGGATGTATCTCAGTTGTAATGCATCACTGGGTTCCTTCCCCAGTACCACATACATAAATAATAAATAAATAAATAAATAAGGCTGGGCTGGGC